TGGATTATTCCGGAACATGTACTTTTTTAAATACCAGCAGATATATTCACGGCAGACTGCATAATTTCAGGTGAGCAGTTCAAAAATATTTCTAAATAAATGAAGAAATTCACTCAAGTATTTATGTATATATACAATCGATCCATTCACAATTTGACCTCGGTAGCAACTATCTGAAACAAAAATAAATAGCTTAGGCATGTTTCTTTTTCTTTTTTCTGATTTGTTGTGAAAGTCCCTGTACATTTAACATTCTTGACACATTCCCAGTGACTATTTTCAATTCTATTATATATATATGTAAGTCGAGAAAAACTGACAAAGCCATGACAAAAAATAAAGAGAACACACTACATACAAAACTTAAGACTGTACAACACAAGCCAACCAAACACTGGGGGTGATCCCTGGTGCCCGGGATGGGTCGGCAGATCGTATTAGTAAGGAGGTACATATGGCATAGGATAGACAGAATAGCTCCCGGTCTCAATCCTTCTCATTTCATTTTAATCTCACTTCCTGTCTGATAGATGATTTCCTTTCACTGAATAATTTAAAAATTTGATGACTATGTTGACTGCATCTATCCCAATGAACTTGAAATATAGTATTAATATTCAAGGATTTAGGGGGTAGGGGCAATATTGATCATTGGCCCGTTCATGATATTAACAAAAATAACACTAAAAAAGGTTTCTCGAAAACACTATCAAGACTTTGAACCGGCTATCAGATTATCAGTGGCTATACGTGTACCTTGTTAACAAGTATTGACCAAAAGTACTTATATTATTCATATGTAGAATACAGGGTCGTCACTTCCGTACCAACGTATAAACAAGAACACAAGATAAGTGACGAGCCTATCTTGTGCCCTAATTTCTAACCAAGTTTTATTTGAATGATTTTGATTGTTAAACCACTGAGAATCTGTATTTGTTTTACATTTATTCCAACCGACTGTAACTCATGTAATAACGAAAACTACAATACTTGTGGTTATTTAATATACTATTCTCAATGATCTTTGTTCGAAATTACGACCTTCACTTGTGTAAAATACACTAGGTCCATGGTACAACAAGGATACACAGACTTTAGCTTGAAAGTGCAAAATAGATAAATATGCGGAACCTTATGAAATCTTGTTATTTCAGTTGCCTCGTTATTTCTATATGTATCTACGATTAAAGAGAATAAACTAAAGATTAATTTAGATAACGTGTGTTTTATCTGATGATATAAACCAATCAACTGATTAATTGTTGTTTATACGTATTGTCCAGTGGCAGATATATCAAAATATTAAAAACGAGTATAAGAAAAGTTATTCACGTGAGAAGTCATTTTGAAGTTTTCATAAAGGTTTAATGAAAAGAAAATGAAAATAAAATATAACGTTTCCACTAAGTTGATCAGACTTGGTGAGATTATGCATTGTAAAAGAGCCTGGCCTGAATATATATTTAAAATTGAGAATGGAAATGGGGATGTGTCAAAGAGACAACAACCCGACCATAGAACAGACAACAGCAGAAGGTCACCAACAGGTCTTCAATGCAGCGAGAAATTCCCGCACCCGGAGGCGTCCTTCAGCTGGCCCCTAAACAAATATATATACTAGTTGAGTGATAATGAACGCCATACTAAACTCCAAATTGTACACAAGAAACTAAAATTAAAAATAATACAAGACTAACAAAGGCTAGAGGCTCCTGACTTGGGACAGGCGCAAAAATGCGGCGGGGTTAAACATGTTTATGAGATCTCAACCCTCCCCCTATACCTCTAGCCAATGTAAAAAAGTAAACGCATAACAATACGCACATTAAAATTCAGTTCAAGAGAAGTCCGAGTCTGATGTCAGAAGATGTAACCAAAGAAAATAAACAAAATGACAATAATACATAAATAACAACAGACTACTAGCAGTTAACTGACATGCCAGCTCCAGACTTCAATTAAACTGATTACAATGTTTCTAATGCCCTTTTCTTTTATTTTTTCTTTTACTCTGAGCATGAAAGTGTTGGTATGTGGTGGGATGGTTCCCATGTATTTTGAGAACTACTTATCCTCGCCATATGATAATTATCATGTTTATGATTCCAGATATTTATCGAGTAACAAGTTAGAAAGTCTACTAGAAGGGCAGTTAACATTGAATACAAATTTTCAATAATTTTAAGTGTAATTGATAATTTAATGTTGTTCATTAATAAAATATTGCTGTTCAAAGCAATATCAGTTGAAATGTAAGAAAAATCTATGTATTTTTTAATTACACGGAGAATGACATTTGAAATTTTTGGTAATTTCATCATCAGTGTCCTAATTCAGATTTTCATTCATGGTTATTGACTTTCTTATAGAACTTTAAAGGGTAAAATGTTAGTAAGTTTACCAGAAGGTCTATTATCGAAAACAGAATTATAATTATACTGTGTGTAGTAAGTATTGTTTAAGTAGGATAGCACTTCCTCTTGCTTAATAAAATGCCTTGCTTAATGTTTAATTTAAAGTTTTGTCTATTTTTATTTGATTATTTATATCTCTTTTTGCAAAAAATCTGTAGAGACAACATGGTACTTTGTCGTTGTTTCTTATAATTCCATATTGTTGCCTTGTCTTATATATTTCTTTCCCTCAAGATTTTAAATTGTTTCGCAATAATGTGAAAAAGCAGACATGGACATGCACAAGACATAGGGCTTAACCTTAAATTGAATTTAATATTTAAGGTATATTAGCAGAAACCCATTGATATGCTGCCTCATGATTGAGTTTAAAGAATGGGAATCAAATCAAACACAACTGGATTATTTCGGAACATGTACTTTTTTAAATACCAACAGAGATATTCACGGCAGACTGCATAATTCAAGGTAAGCAGTTCAAACATATTTCTAAATAAATGAAGAAATTCACTCAAGAATTTATATATATATACAATCAATCCATTCGCAATTTGACCTCTGTAGCAACTATATGAAATAAAAATAAATAGCTTAGGCATGTTTCTTTTAATTTTTTTCTGATTTGTTGTGAAAGTCCCTGTACATTTAACATTTTTGACACATTCCCCGTGTCTATTTTCTATTCTATTATATATATATTTATTAGTAAAAAAACTGACAAAGCCATAACAAAAAAAAAGAGAACACATTACATACAAAACTAAAGACTGCACAACACAAGCCAACCATACACTGGGGGTGATCCCTGGTGCCCCGGATGGGTCGGCAGATCGTATAAGAAAAGAGTTACATATGGCATAGGATAGACAGAATAGCTCCCGGTCTCAATCTTTCTCATTTCATTTCAATTTCACTTCCTGTCTGATAGATGATTTCCTTTCACTGAATAATTTAAAAATTTGATGACTATGTTGACTGCATCTATCCCAATGAACTTGAAATATAGGATTAATTATTCAAAGATTTGGGGGGTAGGGGCAATATTGATCATTGGCCCGTTCATGATATAAACAAAAATAACGCTAAAAAAGGTTTCTCGAAAACACTATCAAGACTTTGAACCGGCTATCAGATTATCAGTGGCTATACGTGTACCCTGTAAACAAGTTTTGACCAAAAGCACTTATATTATTCATATGTAGAATACAGGGTCGTCACTTCCGTACCAACATATAAACAAGAACACAAGATAAGTGACGAGCCTATCTTGTGCCCTAATTTCTAGCCAAATTTTATTTCAATGATTTTGATTGTTAAACCACTGAGAATCTGTATTTGTTTTACATTTATTCCAACCGACTGTAACTCATGTAATAACGACAACTACAATAATTGTGGTTATTTGGTATACTATTGTCAATGATCTTTGTTCGAAATTACGACCTTCACTTGTGTAAAAAACACTAGGTCCATGGTTCAACAAGGATACACAGACTTTAGCTTGAAAGTTCAAAATAGATAAATATGCGGAACCTTATGAAATCTTGTTATTTCAGTTGCTTCGTTAATTTCTATATGTATCTAAGAATAAAGAGAATAAACTAAAGATTAATTAGATAACGTGTGTTTTATCTGATGATATAAACAAATCAACTGATTAATTGTTGTTTATACGTATTTTCCAGTGGTATATATATCAAAATATTAGAAACGAGTATAAGAAAAGTTATTCACTTGAGAAGTCATTTTGAGGTTTTCATAAAGGTTTAATAAAAAGAAAATGAAATAAAATATAACGTTTCTACTAAGTTGATCAGACTTGGTGAGATTATGCATTGTAAAAAAGCCTGGCCTGAATATATATTTACAATGTTTCTAATGCCCTTTTCTTTTATTTTTTCTTTTACTCTGAGCATGAAAGTGTTGGTATGTGGTGGGATGGTTCCCATGTATTTTGAGAACTACTTATCCTCGCCATATGATAATTATCATGTTTATGATTCCAGATTTTATCGGGTAACAAGTTAGAAAGTCTACTAGAAGGTCAGTTAACATTGAATACACATTTTCAATAATTTTAAGTGTAATTGATAATTTAATGTTGTTCATTAATAAAATATTGCTGTTCAAAGCAATATCAGTTGAAATGTAAGAAAAATCTATGTATTTTTTAATTACACGGAGAATGACATTTGAAATTTTTGGTAATTTCATCATCAGTGTCCTAATTCAGATTTTCATTCATGGTTATTGACTTTCTTATAGAACTTTAAAGGGTAAAATGTTAGTAAGTTTACCAGAAGGTCTATTATCGAAAACAGAATTATAATAATACTGTGTGTAGTAAGTATTGTTTAAGTAGGATAGCACTTCCTCTTGCTTAATAAAATGCCTTGCTAAATGTTTAATTTAAAGTTCTGTCTATTTTTATTTGATTATTCATAATTTAAAGTTCTGTCTATTTTTATTTGATTATTTATATCTCCTTTTGCAAAAAATCTGTAGAGACAACATGGTACTTTGTCGTTGTTTCTTATAATTCCATATTGTTGCCGTATCTTATATATTTCTCCCCATAAGATTTTAAATTGTTTCGCAATAATGTGAAAAAGCAGACATGGACATGCACAAGACATAGGGCTTAACCTTATATTGGATTTAATATTTAAGGTATATTAGCAGAAACCCATTGATATGCTGCCTTATGATTGAGTTTAAAGAATGGGAATCAAATCAAACACAACTGGATTATTTCGGGACATGTACTTTTTTAAATACCAGCAGAGATATTCACGGCAGACTGCATAATTCCAGGTAAGCAGTTCAAAAATATTTCTAAATAAATGAAGAAATTCACTCAAGTATTTATGTATATATACAATCTATCCATTCACAATTTGACCTCTGTAGCAACTATATGAAATAAAAATAAATAGCCTAGGCATGTTTCTTTTTTCTTTTTTCTGATTTGTTGTGAAAGTCCCTGTACATTTAACGTTCTTGACAAACCCCGTGTCTATTTTCTATTCTATTATATATATATAAGTCGAGAAAAACTAACAAAGCCATGACAAAAAAAAGAAAACACACTACATTCAAAACTAAAGACTGTACAACACAAGCCAACCAAACACTGGGGGTGATCCCAGGTGCCCCGGATGGGTCGGCAGATCGTATTAGTAAGGAGGTACATATGGCATAGGATAGACAGAATAGCTCCCGGTCTGGATCCTTCTCATCTTATTTTAATTTCACTTCCTGTCTGATAGATGATTTCCTTTCACTGAATAATTTAAAACATTTGATGACTATGTTGACTGCATCTATCCCAATGAACTTGAAATATAGGATACAACAGTAACAGTTAAGTCTATCCCATATCTTGACTTACATCTACAAATCGTCAATGAGGATCAGATGAGAACTAAACTCTACGGCCAAAGAGATGTTTTCAATTTTCTAATTGTGGTCTTCCCATTTCTATGTAGCAACATCCCAACAGCGCCTACATACGGAGTAAAGTCTTTCGACTTATGAGTTTGAATGTCCCTTTGGTATCTATCGCCTATCTTTTGTCAACACAAATACAACTCATACACTGTAGTTAAATGTCAACATCAATCGATACAAATAAGTTAACATATAAAGTCACGAACAACAAACTCGAAACGATGGAGATTGTAAATATGATAACCACTGACATAGAATGTGTCGTTAGGTTAAAAGGGGTATTAGCTGTCAAATTCATGTTCACCGATTTGACTCAAATTCTCATATTTGATTTATTACATACTAAAACGTATATCCAAATTATAAAAAGTCGAATTAAACAACTTACGATGCATGGACTCGATAATATGTATCAGCATTTCGTGTGTATTTAAGTCTATACGCCATCTACTTAACCATCGAGGGGACCTCCGAAGACTGTCGACGGTCATATAACCCGATATAAACCTGAATATAGATATAAATAGATAGCGAACACGAGCAAATGGGTTTTTCTAGGTCTGTTTGATTTCGTATAATAGGTTAAAAAATATGTTCATCATCGTTTTTAACTGTATAAGAATGAGTTTTCGTAGATCGAATCATTCAACCAAATGGTTTAATTTTGTTTCACTTTCAATGGTGACATTCTTTTAATAATTGAACACGCGTAGTTATGCGTAACCCATATCCACTAAGGAGTTAAATTGAAGGTCACATGAATACGAATTCGTTGAGGTCGAATTATTCACTTGCAAGTGAATAATTCATCAGCGATATTTATTAGCTAAATTTGACAAAATTAAACCAAACTGGCTGCTAAAAGCAAATCATTATTTCACTATTTCACTCTAATTAATGATTGAACAAAAAAGATAATATTTTATTTTTTTATATCTCGTAGCTAATGCCCTTTAATATCCATCTATTTTAACATTTTTTAAAGTAATTTCGTAATTATGACTATTATCATTATTGTAAAAACTACTGCCTTGCCTGCGTATAAATACTTACAATTCTGTAAGGGATGTTAAACCAGGGCCCGTATGCATAAAACATCTTAACTTTAGTGTTCCTTAAACTTAGATGTCACTAAGAATTTCCTTAGTTAAGTATAATTCTTAAGTCGTATGCATAAACTTACTTAAGTCTTCACTTAACTAAGGAGTACTTAAATCGGAACCTTTCTTTAATTACCGTATGATATGTATTAGCTTATCGCATGTACTCATCCGTGTAAAAGTTTGTTATGATTATTTACATTGATTGATCAATGCATACTTAATTAGTAGCTGGGGTTAAATTTATGTTGGTATGTAAAACAATTCAATAATACGTAACACAACATTTGATAAATCGGCGCATAAGAGAAAATGTTGACGTGTTGATGGATGGGCATGGAAAGAAAAACATATTTGTAATCCAAAACTTCCCCCTACTTACTAGTAATCTTTAATTCATCTTTCATGGGTGTTGGTGGATGGAGGTGCCTGTTTATTTTCTGGAGACAATAATATATTTTTAACTGTAACAAAACATGATAAAGGTTTCAATGGCGTAGTACCAGTGTAGCATTGTAAGCATGTGCTTACGAATAATTTAATAAAACATATTTTTTTTTAATAAGAATTTTATTATATTTGTCCAGCTTCTGGTTGGCTGCAGCCCCCTTCCAGACCCCCTGCTTATAATTTCTGTTGGGGTTTTAAAAAATCTATTTCGAATTGAAATAAACTATTTTATCACTTCCATTTTACAACAATAAAAAAGGGGTAGGATAAATTTTCCACGAATCCATATAAAAACAGGGCCATTTTTCAAAAATCCTGCAAGCTTTACTAAAACACACATTATTAGATTCATATGTTTATGGTAAGGTATTATCAACATCTTAGCGTACTAACAATATTTTCGTTTACAGCAATATATCACTTAATATAATAAGGAAATATGAAAACTAATTTAATACGGTTTAGGTATCATAAATACGTAATATAAACTTTGAATTCCATGGGGTATGTCTTAAAACTTTCCGATTTTGTCCCAGTAAGTGAAACAACTTGCCTTACATCTTTAGAATAAAACAAAATAATTGAAAATATTCAACCGATGGACCGCCCCTCCCCACACACACACACACACACACACAGAAAACAGGATGTTGCATGCCTGAAGATCTTCATCTCTTCCTTCCTTCATACTGTTTTTTTTACTGATGGTTACAATTGGTACCACGCGGTGTATTTTAATAATTTAACGTTCAAAGTTGTTTGTGTAAATATGCACGTATAGAGTAAACAAAAGAAAAATAATAGCACGAATTCCATGCGTGTAAAAAGTGAATATTCTGCAAAAAACGCATACTTTCGACTGATTTTTAACTATTTTCGAAAATTTAAGGTAGCTCTATAGGTACCTTAGACTTAAGTATAATCTTAGGCGTTTTCTTAGTATAAGGAGTTTTATGCATACCACTTAAGTTTTGTGGGCGTGACTTAAAACAACTAAGATTTGACTAAGGAAATACTTAGTTTAAGATTTTTTATGCATACCACTTACGTGAAAAGGGCGGAGTTTCCTTAACTTAAGTGTTTACTAAGGAAAATCTTAACTTAAGTAGCTTTATGCATACGGGCCCAGATCGCACATTTGGTCCTGCTGTTGTTAGGTCATTGTTATTAAGACGTCTGAAAGTATGAATAAATCTTTTATATCCAAAACTAGAGCCAAGATACCAAGGGAGTGATCAATGATCATAGGACTTAATTCAATAAAAGTAAGATATTCAATATTCTGATATATATATAACCTACATCTCTGTTACTATCCGCAGGTCAAAACATTCTTTTGCATCTACACGAGAAATTTCGTTGAATTGAACATCTCTAAAAGAAAAAGTTATTAATGATAAATGAAGCTTGAGTACAAATTATTCATAATTTAATGAATAGTAAAATCATTTGAGTTGGACCGGTATAAGGATAGACCGACGATTGCATGGACTTCATTTAAATGTATGACAATATTAGTATTTAGATGCAAAGTATTGGCAGATCGGTAAATTTTGGGATATTGTTTAATCGTGAATGAAGTATATAAAAAGCTTATAGATAGAAATCATCGTCATTGATGAAGATCATGGATAATATAGTTACATGATAATAGTAATAAGTGCCCGTTGGAATATTGGTAGGACGATAATTTAACGCGTTTGGTGTATAACAAATAATATCCTTTCACACTTCCATTTCAAAAAAGTTCGACACACACACAAACACACGCTCAAAACGTATTTCAACGTTTGGTGTTTCGTCATATGACTGTGATATTTCCTGCGGCGATGAATTAAGAATGTGATAGAAAGTAACAGAAACATGTGTTATAACATGTCAACTCCCAGGTCTAGCTCCTTCTGAATGTCATATGATTCCCTCATATTTTTTTAAACTTTGATTTGTATCTTCTGAATTGATTGGTTTTTTTTTCTGAGATTTGAGCAGCGATACATAGAAGTAATTGTTTATGAATATAGCGTCCGAAGAGCAGTTCAAGATTCACCTTCATCACTAATGCAAAAACCTGGGATTATAACATGTGTAATGTACAGTACTTACAAAATTGTTGTAGATGAAGGAATATGTGCCGGTAGTTTCATTAAACTCCTTTCACTACAATCAACTTGTACCATTACATTTATAAAATGAAACACATCCATTGACTAAATCCCCTTTTAATAAGCTTGTAAACAATATAACTGTAACTGAGAGCAACATTTTATTAGATGCTTTCGCTTTTCTTCGTTTTCCTTGATATATCTGTAATATAAAAAAAAAGTAATGTCCTATAATATTTTATTGCTAGACAGTCATTTATATTTTGATAAACAATCATGAATTTTCAAAATAAAAAGACAGAAATGGAGAGAAAGTACCATTTCAAAGCTTTACCTTTCTAAATAACACTCTTTCAGATATATTTCCCATTCTTTTATGGTGTCAAATATCACACATGCGAAAAGAAGCTTTGGCACCTGAAGTAAGATTGGCTGTTGCTATATTAATAAAGGCAATAGTAGTATACCGCTGTTCAAAAGTCATAAATCGATTAAGAGAAAACAAATCCGGGTTACAAACTAAACCGACAGAAAAGATATGCCTTTCTTACGTTTTTCACATACTTCGTGTTATATTTGATAACCTTATTTTTTTCAAAAAATGCAATACTTTCTCTGTCATTTCTTTCCACAGTGTATGCCGATTCGGACTTTTCTTACTACTATCTTTTCAGATGCATATTCATAATTAATAAATCAATTAAGATATGTT